CAATTTTCGGAAAAGTGTCAAAAATTTATTTTTTGACCAGACATGGCTAGAACGACTGGGCTGTTGATGCTGATCAAGAATATATATGGTTTATAGGGTCGGAAATGACTCTTCGTTGCGTTCCAAGCTTCTGACTTAAATTATATTCTTCAAAAACGTATAAAAACAGACAATTTTTTTGAAAAATCACAGTTTTTCGGACATCATAATTAGGCCGAAATTGCATTAATTTTAATTCGGAAAACTTTTCTGTGCTAGTTTTTATTGCACCAACAAATCTGCATACTGCGTTTGTTGATGATATGGTCAGTTTTTGACTAAAATCATAAAAACCGGCAAAAAGGTATAAAAACGGACCATTTTTTCCAAAAATCATAGTTTAAAAAAACTCATAACTAAGCCAAAAAATCATTAATTTTAATTCGGAAAGCTGTTCTATGCTAGTATTTAGTAGATTAACAAAGCTGCATACTCAGTTTTCAAATTTACAAAATTCAATTTTTTGGCAAATTTAGGCAATTTTAATGATGTAACCCCTTATAAAATTTTCAATTTTCGGAAAAGTGTCAAAAATTTATTTTTTTACCAGACATGGGTAGAACGACTGGGCTGTTGATGCTGATCAAGAATATATATGGTTTATAGGGTCGGAAATGACTCCTTCATTGCGTTCCAAGCTTCTGACTTAAATTATATTCTTCAAAAAGGTATAAAAACAGACAATTTTTTTGAAAAATCACAGTTTTTCGGACATCATAATTAGGCCGAAAATGCATTAATTTTAATTCGGAAAACTTTTCTGTGCTAGTTTTTATTGCACCAACAAATCTGCATACTGCGTTTGTTGATGATATGGTCAGTTTTTGAATAAAATCATAAAAACCGGCAAAAAGGTATAAAAACGGACCATTTTTTCCAAAATCATAGTTTAAAAAAACTCATAACTAAGCCAAAAAATCATTAATTTTAATTCGGAAAGCTTTTCTAAGCTAGTTTTTAGTAGATTAACAAAGCTGCATACTCAGTTTTCAAATTTACAAAATTCAATTTTTTGGCAAATTTAGGCAATTTTAATGATGTAACCCCTTATAAAATTTTCAATTTTCGGAAAAGTGTCAAAAATTTATTTTTTTACCAGACATGGGTAGAACGACTGGGCTGTTGATGCTGATCAAGAATATATATGGTTTATAGGGTCGGAAATGACTCCTTCATTGCGTTCCAAGCTTCTGACTTAAATTATATTCTTCAAAAAGGTATAAAAACAGACAATTTTTTTGAAAAATCACAGTTTTTCGGACATCATAATTAGGCCGAAAATGCATTAATTTTAATTCGGAAAACTTTTCTGTGCTAGTTTTTATTGCACCAACAAATCTGCATACTGCGTTTGTTGATGATATGGTCAGTTTTTGAATAAAATCATAAAAACCGGCAAAAAGGTATAAAAACGGACCATTTTTCCCAAAAATCATAGTTTAAAAAAACTCATAGCTAAGCCAAAAAATCATTAATTCGGAAAGCTGTTCTATGCTAGTTTTTAGTAGATTAACAAAGCTGCATACTCAGTTTTCAAATTTACAAAATTCAATTTTTTGGCAAATTTAGGCAATTTTAATGATGTAACCCCTTATAAAATTTTCAATTTTCGGAAAAGTGTCAAAAATTTATTTTTTGACCAGACATGGCTAGAACGACTGGGCTGTTGATGCTGATCAAGAATATATATGGTTTATAGGGTCGGAAATGACTCTTCATTGCGTTCCAAGCTTCTGACTTAAATTATATTCTTCAAAAAGGTATAAAAACAGACAATTTTTTTGAAAAATCACAGTTTTTCGGACATCATAATTAGGCCGAAATTGCATTAATTTTAATTCGGAAAACTTTTCTGTGCTAGTTTTTATTGCACCAACAAATCTGCATACTGCGTTTGTTGATGATATGGTCAGTTTTTGAATAAAATCATAAAACCGGCAAAAAGGTATAAAAACGGACCATTTTTTCCAAAATCATAGTTTAAAAAAACTCATAACTAAGCCAAAAAATCATTAATTTTAATTCGGAAAGCTTTTCTAAGCTAGTTTTTAGTAGATTAACAAAGCTGCATACTCAGTTTTCAAATTTACAAAATTCAATTTTTTGGCAAATTTAGGCAATTTTAATGATGTAACCCCTTATAAAATTTTCAATTTTCGGAAAAGTGTCAAAAATTTATTTTTTACCAGACATGGGTAGAACGACTGGGCTGTTGATGCTGATCAAGAATATATATGGTTTATAGGGTCGGAAATGACTCCTTCATTGCGTTCCAAGCTTCTGACTTAAATTATATTCTTCAAAAAGGTATAAAAACAGACAATTTTTTTGAAAAATCACAGTTTTTCGGACATCATAATTAGGCCGAAAATGCATTAATTTTAATTCGGAAAACTTTTCTGTGCTAGTTTTTATTGCACCAACAAATCTGCATACTGCGTTTGTTGATGATATGGTCAGTTTTTGAATAAAATCATAAAAACCGGCAAAAAGGTATAAAAACGGACCATTTTTCCCAAAAATCATAGTTTAAAAAAACTCATAGCTAAGCCAAAAAATCATTAATTCGGAAAGCTGTTCTATGCTAGTTTTTAGTAGATTAACAAAGCTGCATACTCAGTTTTCAAATTTACAAAATTCAATTTTTTGGCAAATTTAGGCAATTTTAATGATGTAACCCCTTATAAAATTTTCAATTTTCGGAAAAGTGTCAAAATTTATTTTTTGACCAGACATGGCTAGAACGACTGGGCTGTTGATGCTGATCAAGAATATATATGGTTTATAGGGTCGGAAATGACTCTTCATTGCGTTCCAAGCTTCTGACTTAAATTATATTCTTCAAAAAGGTATAAAAACAGACAATTTTTTTGAAAAATCACAGTTTTTCGGACATCATAATTAGGCCGAAATTGCATTAATTTTAATTCGGAAAACTTTTCTGTGCTAGTTTTTATTGCACCAACAAATCTGCATACTGCGTTTGTTGATGATATGGTCAGTTTTTGACTAAAATCATAAAAACCGGCAAAAAGGTATAAAAACGGACCATATTTTCGAAAAATCATAGTTTAAAAATACTCATAACTTAGCCAAAAATGCACGTTTTTATTAGGTTTATAAATCTGCAGACTCAATTTACAATTCTAAAAGATGGCTCAGCTTCAAATGTCTGCCTTCCTTGAATCAATATTTAGCCACATTTTTATACGACCATTTTATGCGGAAAATCGAATTTTAAGAATTTTATAACTAAGCCAAAAATTCATTAATTTGAATTCGGAAAACAGTTTTATGTACTTTTTTATTGGGTTTATAAAACTGCATACTCAATTTACCATTTTAAAGAATTGCTAAGCTTAAAATGTTTGCCTTCCTTGAATCAATATTTAGCCACATTTTTATTCGACCATTTTACGCGGAAAATCGAATTTTAAAATTTTCATTACTAAGCCAAAAATTCATTAATTTTAATTCGAAAAACGGTTTTATGTACATTTTTATTAGATTTACAAATCTTCATACTCAATTTACAATTTTAAAAAATTGAATTTATCATTTTATCATTATCATTTCTTCAATTTTTGAAAAAATCTCGAAAATTTGTTTTGACCGCACATGGCTAGAATGATTCTCCTATTGATGCCGATCAAGAATATATGTATATGATTTATAGGGTCGAAAATGTGTCCTTCACAGAGGAAAAATAGTCTGACTTAAATTATCATGCTCCACAAGGATATCAAAACATAAGTAGATTATGGTCAGTGGCCCTCTAAGGAGGAAGAGCTTTTCTTAAAAATAAAATAAAGAAAAAGCATCCCCTTTGCGTAAAGTAAATACATTAAAACACCTTTATTTAATTTGATTAATTTCTAAATTTATTTCGCTCTGATTGTTTTGGATAGACGTGCTGTACATGCACTTGGTTTGTTTGTTTTTATAAATTTATATAATTGAAATTTCATATGATTTTTCCGTTGATTAGCTGAGTTATTTTATCTACATCTTGTTTTTTTTCTTGGAAACACAATCATCTAGATTCTAGAATATAATGCAGTAATTTTGATAGCTTATTTATCCATCGCGTGTTATCAAAACTCGATTATCATCATACCAGGTAGTACAGACTACCTACAGCATGGCCTGACAACTGACGAATTCCAAATTTGTATACCATCAGAGTATATATTTATTATTTTTAGGTAATTGTTTAATTTATAAGTAAAGATTTTTATGCGGGCGACTAGAAATTTTTGAGAAAACTTTAAACATACAATACAGTAATATACGGATATATCCGCTTACGGGTTATAATTTAATTACTTGCTAGGCGATAGGAATCATGATGAAATTACTTTAACTTGCCTTACTCATTACGTCTAGAGGTTCAATTAATTAAATATGGATACAAGCATCTGTTATTCTCTTACGTTCTACTTAAGCACTCTCTCTTAAAAGCAACTACTTAGGCATTTATTCATTCCGTACTCTGTGTTAGCGAGTGTAACTGAAATGTAACTAAAGTTTGGCGCCTCAAACCGGAGCCATCGTATTATGCTAAAATGATACGTATAAGTTAGAGAAATCTTTGGTTGTAACTACAACTGAAAGTGAATAGTTTCGAGTCGAGTCTCCACCTCATCTAAGGAGTGCTCCGTATCAGCGGAGACTCTTCTCGTAACTTTGTGCTGGTTTAGGCTGCTGCTGCTGCTGCTGCACGGTTATTTCGGATTTGTTCATACACAATGTATCTATAAATTATCACAGTAAAATAAATAGAAATCTTCTCTGCTGCGGCCTCTGCGAGAATCGGAACCAAGGAATGGGTGGATGAAGCAGCATCCAGGCATTGCCGTGGTGGTGCTGGATTCGGATTGTATGGAAGATAAGATAGTCATAGTCCACATTTTGGCAAAACTGTTGAACATGGTTGTTGTGTGCTCTCCTCCGGCTGCCCCTCACTGGTTCAGCAGTGTGTTGGTCACCTCCGAGAAGGAGAGCAGCGGACTGCCATCGGCATAGGCGCCACCCACCGGCGGCGGGGCATAGGCCAGCGCTGTGTGCGCCGTAATATTAGCCGGATACAGCAACTGATGGTGCTGCGTATGATGATGCGAGTGCTGCTGCTGGTATATCGCATGCTGGTGCTGCTGCTGCAGGGTAGAGTGCTGCTGCTGGTGTTGCTGATGCTGCTGGAGGGACGACTGCTGCTTCATCGCCTTGCGCCCGATGCCGCCCACCTCGTCGGCACAGATGACCAGCGGAGCAGCGGACACAATGGCCACCTGCTGATAAGTTGGCATTCCATCGGACACTGATCCCGTGGACGCTGCCACTGCTGCTCCATTGAGCAGGCTGCTCACAGCCGGCAGGACTGTGGGGGAGCGGGACAACGCTGGCGGTGGCGGCGGTGACGAATCTGGTCCTGCTCCCACTAGCTGGTGGTGCAGGGGATAGCCGGTGGCCAGCGATTGCTGCTGTTGCTGCTGCTGCTGCTGCTGCTGCTGATGGTTGGTGAGTATGATCTAGGGAGGATCGTTATGGTTAGTAGTCAGGCGATAGAGCACACATAGGTGCACTGTGGTGTGAGGTGGGTGTTCTATAGTGTCGGTGTCGAAGAGTGTGTGGTGTACGGAGTACAGATTACGGAGTACAGAGTGGATTGGGTGCTTCATTACTGGTGCAATCTATTCGCCTTCTAGCGGTGGCCGTGGTGCAGGTGGTGCGACTGGGCCGGAACGTGGCCACCGCCGCCAGCCGACGGGTGGTGCGGGTGCGAATGCGAATGCGGATGCGGATGATGGTACGTGAAGTACTGCGAGTACTGCGTGTAGGAGGCGGGCGTCCATACCTCGCTGCCGTGCTGATGCGCCGCCTCATGGTGATGGTGATGGTGGTGATGATGATGCGAGTGCGGATGCGGGTGGGCGTGATGATGCTGCTGTTGTTGCTGTTGCTGCTGCTGCTGTTGCTGGTGGCAGCTGGGTGGATGCACCGCCTGGTGATCTGTGCCCGTGCTGGTGCCCGTGCCCGTGACTGCTACTGGGTGCGTTAGGGAGCTGCTGGGAGCGCTAACATTGGCACCAACTCCGCGCTGCGACTGCTGTTGCTGCTGCTGCTGTTGTTGCTGTTGCTGCTGCTGCTGCTGCTGCTGCTGTGGCGAGGTTGTGTGCGAGGAGGCGGAGTATAGGCCAGAGTCGTCATGCTGCAGCTGGTAGCTCTCAGGAGTACTGGCGCTTGCCGATTTCCCCGGCAGCTCCTTTGTCCCATTCCACTTGGCCGCCGTTGCCGGTTCGTGCTCATTGTTGTTATTGGCATTGCCGTAACCCAGTCCGTTGGTAAGCGGCGTCACCCGCTGCGGGGAACCAGGATTACCGGACGCAGTCCGTCCTCCCTGCAAACTGTTCAGTGGCACCCCGCTCGAGTGAGTGGTGCCCCACATCAGGACCGTCTGCCTTTCATAGGGATCCTGGCCAGCAGCTGCAGCTACTGTTGTTGCCGACAGCTCCACTTTGGGCGTGGCACTGGCAGCACCATTGGGCGTAGCTCCACTCACGGGCGAGGGTCCATCCGAGGAGCAGGAGATGACCTCCATTACCTGCGGTGAAGACTTGGGCGTTTTCAGTGGAATTTGCTGTGAGAATGAGATAGACAGGGAAAAGGGATTAGTCGAAATGCAGTCGAGAACTGGAGAACGAGTGATCTTCTCACCTGTGGCGTGGACGTGGGACTGCCGTAGCCGCTGCTATAGCCACTGTAGTACTTGCCGGTCTCCTGCCATTTGTCCTCCGCCTTGGAGGCGATGGCATAACCGTCGTAGGAGAGGAAGCCATTGGCCACATAGGCCGAGGCCGGGGCTCCAGAATGCGGATAGTCCGTGTAGTAGCCACCGACGGCACCCTGCAGCCGGTACTGGTGGAAGAGGTTCTCGCTGACCGGATAGAAGGCATTGGCCGGCATGGAGCTGCCCATGTAAAGGTTATCCGCAGCACTCGCGTACGGCGAGGTCGTGTACATGGGATTCAGGTTGGAGTAGGCGGCAGCCACGGCCGCCGCCGGATCGGGCAGGTATTCCACGGCCACTGCTGGAGCAGGAGATCCCACCTGGCCGCCCAGCGGCGAGTTCTGCTGCGTCTGCTGTTGCTGTTGCTGCTGCTGCAACTTGCGCTTGCTGCGGCACGTGGAGAGGAAGTCGCGCAACTGCGTCTTATAGCGACGATTGGGTCGCGTCGGTGTCACCGGCGGCGGCAGGGAGTGGGCCGTGGGTGAGGCACTAGGCGGTACCACCAGCTGATCCGCCTCGGAGAAGTAGGTGGACGCCAGACCCGTGTCTAGATAGCTGACCTTGAAGTCCATCGTCCGCTTGCCCAGCAGGTCGTGACCCTCCTCGTCCATCAGCTGCCGGTGCGTGCAGATGACAAAATCCGGCTTGGAGTTCTTGTACACCAACCGGGAGCTCGTCTGCAGCCATTGCCACTCGCCGTCCTTCTTCTGATAGCGGTACGCAATCATGCCAGAGGCACCCGTCTTCAGAACTGCAAAGGATTATTGTGGGTTAGTTATTTAGATGTTTTAGCCAAGTGCCAGTCCGATTTGTGGTTAATACTTACGCTCCTGATGGGCGCTGGCCACGTAAGCCAGGTCATCATAGTGGACCAGGTCGTAGCCGCCCATGTTGACCAGTTCGGCGTCCGCATAGCCAAGGATGTGCTTGCCGCGCTGATCCATGGACACCAACGAGAAGTCCAGCTTGTGCTTGGACTTGAACATGTTCTCCTTGTGCGGAATCTCTAGCAAACTGGGCGGGCCAAAGGGTGTGCAGTAGGCGAAGAGGGCCAGCGGTGGCTCCTCCGTCTTGCGGTTTTGGCCGTGCAGCACCTTGATTCTTCCGCGGATGTCCAGGCGAAGGAAGCCGCTCGTGTTATCCAGCAAGCAGCGGAAGCGGACGGTGAAGCTGCGCTCCAGGTAGAGCGCCTTGTCTGGCGCCAGGGTCTCCGCCAGCTGCATGCTGGACATGTCGGCGGGCAGGAAGCTGTTCCATAGCAGCTGGCGCTGCAGCTCCTCACGGTCCTCCGAATGCACCAGCTCGTACACCGACTGGTGGACGATGTCCGACTGCGGAATGGAAACACAGAGATGGAGATGAAGTCGGTCAGGGGTCAGTCACCTTCGGTGGGATCTCTCTCAATGATTTAGCTCTCGCCGCTGCTCTCTCTTTAGCCCAGGGAATTCGGGGCGTATAAATCAAAATGCGCGCAAATTGAAAATGCGCCCCATGTTGGCCACAAATTGAGACATAAATTCTGCACGCGCCAGGAGCTAAGGCGGGCATGGGGGCTCCAAGGGATTCCCCCTTCTATCTGCGGCCCAAAAGCAAACAAAGCCAACTCGAACTCGAAGGCGAAGTCGAAAGCTAAGGCAAACGCCAGCCGGGCAGCAGCTACGCTTTTAATTGAGCTGCCAAACGGGGCGTGGCAAGTGCCGCTTTACACATTTACAACTAAATTTAAAGGAACAACACGGGCGGATGCTAACTGCAATTTCAATTTCCATTCGACAATAAAGTAGGCAAAAACTACAATGGAGGTGTACCTGCCAGCCCAGGCCAAACATGCTGCCGAAGCAGACCGAATTCAAATCGGGATGCCCACATCGGCATCGGCATCGGCATCGGAATCAATCTGGCCACGCCCCACCACTGCCACCACTTCCACTGGGATTGGGGATGGCAGGAGGAGATTCCCGGCGATTGCGCAATCTGATTTTAATTTACGATCTGTCGGAGTCCGCGAATCGATTCAGGTCCGCGCACCCTTCTCCCAAGGAGAACGCGGAGCCAGACCACTTTGCTGCCAGATTGGAGACCCATCTGTGGATGCGTATTTGGGTCAGGGTATTCGGGAATCAGGTTATTATGTTTGCTTTTATTTGAGTTCTCATTGCCTGTACTGGACTCTTTCCGCATACCACAGATTGGTCCAAAAATAAATGTAGAAAACTATATAGTATATACAAGGAATTAAAGAAGACGGAAATCTAACAATAATACCCTGCAAGGGTATATAAATATATTTGAAACCATTTAAGGTACTGTGGCTATCTGCTTTCGCTTATAAAAGTTTGATTTAAATACTTACTACCTAAACATGAAATAACTATATTTATTTATTCTAAATAAAGGATGAACCCATATCTTTCAGACATTATATTTCTCAGTTATTGTGCTATGTATAGGAAAAATATAGGTTTAAAAAACTAGTATATCTTTACCTATTCTTCCCTCATTAAGTTTGTTCTCCATGTGACCCTGCAGAGACTTGAAATAGTTGAATCTTTTCAACCTATTCTGGGCCAAAGACTTCCCTGTCTCGGACTGCTTCCGCATGCCAGAGATTGACCCAAAAACCAAACATCACAGAAGCCCCGGCAATTAAAATCAATCAAATGTACGGACCAGGAGTGAAAGAGAACCCGACTCTGGAGGAGGGACAGGGATTGGCTGGCTGGTGGCACTTACCTGATGAAATCCCAAATAGCTCTCGATGCTGTGCGTGGCAAAGAAGACTTCGCCTTCGCATGTCAGTATCATTAGAAATCCATTTAGGGCCTGCAAAGAAAGAGTCAAGAGAAAGGAAAGACGACGGGTCAAAATTAAATCAAAACTATGAATTAAATTTTTGTTTCTGCTGCTCCAGAGCCAAGTGGCTAGAAACCCAGAATCAATAGATAGATGAATGAATATTTTTGGGATGGGATATGATGGGATGGAATGGATGATGGGCTGGCAAAGGTGTAATTACAGTAGCTGCCAGTTCTCGTCATATTTGGTGAATGAAATGTTATCCATCATGGCAGCCGGCAGAGATTTAATGCACCGTGAGAAATCAGTAAGCTAGGGAATCCATATTAATTTATATTTAAACTAAATAAATAGCTCCAACTTGAAGGTATATAAAATATATTTTAAATCACAAAAGAGGGAAGTAGTCTAGTATGTATTCCCAGGACTATTCTCAAGATTAAGCCCAGCTTTTATCCATTGACCCGTACAGGTTAGCCTCTGCTTGAATGAACTCCGCCTCGCCGGGACCAGGAGGTGGAGATAGCAACCTCAATGGCGGCGCTTGGTTGTGGGGAAAAAGCGTAATCAGCGCTTAAGCGGCTCATTTCATCCAAGCCACAGGTCGCCGCCAGTGTGTGTGTACATCCCCTGTCCCGATCCCAGTCGGAGCTGGAGTTCCACATCAAACACAACCAGGAAATGGCCGGCAATTAAATCAATGGGTTTCAACTGGACAAGGAGGATGCGGGGTGGCATGGGTAGATTTCGGTCGATTCTGCGCTGTAATTGCAGGTTCCATGCCCGTCCAGTTGCTCCTCCCTTGGCTCCCTTGACTCCCCCCAGATGAGCCATTGTCATTATCTATTCGGATGTGCCCCGCCAAAGATTCTCCAGAGCGCTGACTCGGAGCTGCTAACAAGAAAACGAAATGCGAACCTGAAGGCGGTGAGCGAAGCATGCAAAAGTTGTAATGCCTTTCATTGTTTTGTTTATTATTTGGCGCATTATTGTTTTTGATTGCATTTTAAAGTCGGCCTTTATGGCCTGCTAATGGCGGCGACGCATGCGATTCCCAATGGCCAGATCTCGGCCAGAGCTAACGGAACGCGTCCGCGTCATGGTGTGAAGTGAAAATGGGAGGGAAACCCGCCGAACGGAGTCCGAAACGAAAAACCGGCATTGGCCGCATCGAAAGACAAATTTGCCAATTCTCCATTAGTGCCTCCGTGGCGGTGCGGTCGTAATTAATAAAGCCAAAACAAAACAACAACAAAAAAACACACGGTGCGTAATTAATACGGGCGTATTTAAATATCAATTTGCAGCCACCACATCGCACAGCCGCATCGAAAAGGAAGTTTTCCCCTCTTTTGGCTCGGAGAAAAATGTGCGCGATTGCTGCTAATTACAGAGCAGCCGCGGCGCTCTGGAGCTGGATTGGCCAGCCGATCCTCCGGCTGGAGGAGCAGCGGGTAGCCCGCTCCTTCCTTCGCCCAGAGTTGGCATTAGCCGACATAAATGCTAAGTGGCGTCATCATTTAAAACGCATCAACAGCCCGCGAAGGATGTGGTCCCGGCATTCGCCTTCGCCGCATGGATTGTCATCAGGCGAGCGGTCCGGTCGAGCATCAATAATCGGGTAAAGATCTCTCCAACGGTAGCCGCTGGGAGAAGGAGATGCAAACGGATATTACCACAATCCTATATACATACTCTGCTCGGAAGCTGTGAGCAGATATCTTAACGGACTTTCTGCCTTCAGAAGGATTGAATATAAGTTTGTTTTAGATAGAGTTCCTCCCTGTCTGCTGGGAACTACAACCTTCAAAGATCTGCACTAATTTGACATTGCAAAGGGTATAAATAATACGAGTTATCAATATACAAATATTAAAAGTTAGCCAAGCATCTTATTACCCCTCATACTTTAATGATCTCATACTTGGTTTAAACAAAACAATGCTATTTGAGGTATTTCTATTTTAACCTTAACAAACTTCTGAAAGCTGAACTTTATATATCCGATCAATTTACAATTAAATTATATGATCTTATCGGAAATAGATTATAACTAAGTTTAAATTATTCCCATTCTTCGCCTCTAATGTTTAATATGATCTTTTTTTTAACCAAACTTTAAAAAGCTCATATCTAAGCCAAAAATTCACAAATTTTAATTCGGAAAGTGTTTTAATGTTAGTTTTTAAGAAGCTAACAAATCTGCATACTACATTTAAAATGTATGTTTTGACCAGCTAGAATGATTCTCCTGTTAATGCCGATCAAGAATATATATGATTTATTGGGTCGGAATGGCTCCTTCAAACGATACGAGCTTCTGAATAAAATAATAATACCCTAAAAAGGTTATGAATATGTCAGAGTCTTTTACTAAAAATTTTAATTTAAGCATTTAGTTAAGTAGAATTAAAAAGGTGAGCTTAAATTAAATAAAACTAATGCATTTCGTAAATGTAATCACATCAAGTTTGTTAGAACTCCTTATGCTTTGCTTCTAAATGTTTAGTTATTAAAATAAGCCATCTGTACAATAATTTATTTTATTTATTTAGAGAGTATTTAATTCTTCGTTCTTCCCCCTTAGGTCCTGTTTCGCTTGTTTTCTTATTATCTTTCTTTGTACAGCTTTTTGCCGTTCTCTTTTCATTTCTTGCGGCATTTTATCTTTTTATGCGGCCAAGAAAGATTTCTCCCCACAGTCTAATTGTTTCTCTCGCCCGTCTCTTTCCCACCAATTACGGCAACGGCATTACCGCTCTCTTTCACTCCCGCTGCCACAATTTAGACAAGCTCGTCTGCGTCCGCGGCGTCTTCTAATGCGATTTTAATAATACACGCCCGTCTCCATAGAGAGGCTGTATGGTATATGGTATATCTGGGTTCCCTTCCCCGACGCTCGCCGGCGTGTGTTGCACTTCAGTGTTTTTTTTTCCCGAGAGATTTGATAAGTTGGCGGCGATTATTTTACCATTTCCTAGCCAGATGCCAAGCCTCTTGCTAGCCATCTCTCTAGTTTGGCCAATTTGCCCATACTCGTCCATATAATTGCTTAATAAAGCCCACCCCCAGAGGTATGTAGGTTCCCCCGGTCCGGTTAATATCTGCGGCGGATCTGCCGCCTAAAACTGTTGCATGGAAAGTTGGGTTCATTTCATGTTGGCAGCAGCAGCAGCAGCAGCGGCGGGCAAAGTGTTGAAAGTGTTTTACTTTCAGTGAAAACGGAAGACAATTAAATGCTGCCCAAGTGTATGTATGTGTTAGCAGCCCTCGAGTAAGCTGCGTGACAAAACGCCATTTTCTAATGATAATATGTGACCCATAATAAACAGAAAACGGCAAAAGGAAAAAGCAGCGGCGGCAACAGCTGCAGCAAAAAGTAAAACTTCACGGGGCAACAGGTAACAAATACCCGAGGTATTAAAACTAAATATGCACACCTAGCCCCCCCCCCTTGTCTCACCTGCCTAGAACTAAGGCAACTTTCCCACTTGAGACAGACTAAAAATATGCACGGAAATGCACAATTGTGCAGTTTTGAGCTCGACAATTAGCTGCAGTCAGGAAGGGGTAGCTTTTTTTGGCTTGCATTCAAATTCGCCAAAAGCCAGTGGCACCCGGGCCACCCTGCGTATACGTAATGCAGCACGAAACTGCAACTTGCAACATGCACCCAGTGTGTGTGTGTGTGTCAGTCAGTGTTGCATACCAAACTCTGGCGGGTGGTTAGACTTTGACATTGAATTGTGCAACTGTGGAGTGTGTGCAAGCCAAAAAAAAAACAACAAAATAGTAAAAGAAAAAGGCGGCCCGACTGGAAGTGCAAGTGCATGTTGCACAATTGCGTGTGTCTGTCTGGCGAGGAGGAGAAGGTGGGTCACCATCACCATCGCCGGTGGCCACCGGCTGCTCCAGTGCCCGGTGAGCTATGTGCGCATTAAATTAAACTGTCATGACTGTGACAAGTGCATATGTTGGCGCCTCGGACACTGCAACAAACAAATACAGCAGCGGCGGCACATGCACTTTTTAATTCAGCAAAAACATGCAACTGCCCCCAAGGCGAGGGCCGTTCGGCTGACGAGGGAGTGCGCTTGGCTCTTTGCGACAATTTAATTGGAGTATTTTGGCACATAAACTTGAAATGCATAATGTTTTTATGTTTGCTCCACTTTGGCAATGCACCTGCTGCTTGATAACTGCTAATTAATTGTAGAGAAATCGTGGCAAAACCTACCTACCTATCTACACCATCAATTGGATAATGCATATTTAGACTTGAAAATTAGCGAAATAATTAGTGTATTGAGTTGGGGGCTTCAGCTATGTTTAGCAGCTAGTTAAAAGGCGATAATGGAACTAATTGAGCTCTGATTTTAGGCTAGAACTGGGTTATAAGTGTAACTTTCATTTAAGTTTAATGAGAATACAGTAGATTTTACTATAACAAATAATATTCAATGAAAGGTTTTACTGATGCTTCTAGTTAAAACCTATAAAGTCGTGACTCTGCAGCTCCTCTTCCTCTTACCAATTTTCAATTGCGTTAATCAATTCGAGCTCTTATTAATTGCAGACAATTACAAATGATGGAATCGAAGCCTGGGGAGAGTATCCCTCCCCCGTTTGATTGCGTGCTCCGCGTTTATCAATGGAAACTCTGCCGGCTAACAAGACGCTGATTGATTATGCCCCGCTCCTCAAACCATACATACATCCATCCATCCATCCGTCTAGCCACATATCCTGGCCAATAAAGCCATCAAGCAGCCACTGATGAAGACAAATCGAGGCGATTGGTGGTCAGCAGTTGGACTCACCTGGAGGAACATATCACCATCCAGCAGGCCGTGCTCGAAGGCTCCCAGCTCCCGTGTCCTGTAGCCGTCGTGTGCGTGTATGTGGGGCAGGACTCCGTTCTCTTCCTTATCCTTATGCATAACAACTGCAAGTCGACAAAAGAGAAAGAGCGAGAAATACTTTAGTTGTGGTGGAATTTTCGGATATTTTATTAACCATAAATATTTGATATTCACTTAGAAGAACTGAATAAAGTTGAGGAAATTGCTTGGCCATAAATAAACCACTCAATTGTTTTACAAACTCACCTTCCCCCGCGGGGATTTTGGGAGGCATAACCATAGTAACTTCATAAAAATACCCTATATATCATATACTGTGTGTGTCTCTGGCTCTTGGAGCTCCCCGAAAAATACTCGTACAATAAATATTTACGGCTTTGGCAAAAGTACTAAAAATTGTTTATGGTGTCATTGTAATATTTTATGGGAACTTTCGCCCCTTTTGGGCCCCATCTCCAGCGATATCCTTGAACTATCCACCCCTGAGCCTTAGACCCGGCCGCCATTTTGCCTAGGAAAATTTAATTTTATTTTCTTCTCCCCTCGGCCGACCCCATTGCTTTTGTTTATTTATTTCTTAGCGGCGGAGTTTTATTTGGTGGGAGCCGAGCAGGTCTCTTTTTATAATAAATTTGTCACAAAAATTGATTTATGTGCGATAAACGATAAAAGAAATGGAACTTCATATATTTACACAATATTAGTAAAAGGTTTTTCGAAGGGCTGGCGCCGGAGGGTGGCTTGGCCAAAAATTATGCCACGCCAGCTGATGTCATAAATTATGATTTTTATCAACGCAAATGGGTAAAATAAAAAATGCTGTAGAGAAATAAAACAGCGGCTAGGATAGGAGCTGAGGAAAAACTTAATTTACGCATGGCAAGCCTCGGGAAAAGGGTCTCTCCTCCTCCTCCTCCTCCTCCTACAGTCCAGCCACGTCCTGCGATTGCAACCCCTAAGCAGGCGGGGAAAACTCTCAGAGTCCGGCTTCAATTTCAATTAGCAGGTTTAGCGTTTCCCCAACCAGATCCACTTCTGACCTGACCGCAAACTGGAGCTCCTTGTCGCCTGGGTTTAATCTCGGCCTTTTTGGGCCTTTTTATCAAATTAACAAAAGTGACTCGCACTCGCTCGCTCCTCTTGGCCCAAAAGATTGTTCATTTTAGCGAAAGTGCGATAAAACAAATAGTTACTGGCCACTGGCCACTCCCCTCCAGCTCCGACGACTGCCTCTGGGCCCGTAATGGGGCACAAACAAATTGCATCATGTGCGTGTAATCCTGGCGTGATCCCTTACAGCCACTTGGCCTAGGACGCGGCCGTAATTATTCATAATTTAATTAGGCTCAGTTTACATTCATTCCATTTCGCGGCCCTGCTTTTTATTATTTCTGGTTGTATATTTTAATTTTTTGTACGTGCATAAACTCATTTAATTATTTTCTTTTTCTGCTGGATAGAGATTTGTGTTGGGTTCGGCATAGGACTCTGGCTGGGGCTCCTGCTTCGACTCTGTCTCGAGTTACAAAATCTGCCCGGCGCTTTTATTGCACTTACAATGTATTATTACTCAGCGAATAAACCGAATTTACGACGAATTCTCCGCATTTTCCGCTTTTCTGCTGCTCCTCTGCTTCTCTGCTTCTCTGCTGTTTTTCCCCCAACTCATTTTCCGCTGGCAGCGCGCTTCCATCTTGGCGAAGCCACCCCCGGAGAGTCGTTAAACGGACGACCATCCACCGTGAACCCAATGCCGGAGCGGCAGCGACGACGGTGGATGAAAATCTTGAGCTGTGAGCCCGGAAAAGCGCAAAATCTCGGCTGGCGGTGGTGCGAGGTGCGGGTTACTTAGCGGAGAGTCCGATGATGTACACACACATAAAATGGCGGCTTTGGTGGCGAGGAAAACCCCACCCAGGTGGCCAGAGAGTGGAGGAAAGCGGACAGAGAGAAAAGCCACAGCGAAACCAGTTGGGAAAAGGCAGCGAAAGAAGACCCAAAAGATACATAGATACTCGCCCTAATGACGTTGCACTGACGGCACCTCCGATTCCAGCAAGCTCTCCTCTGAGCCATTTTCCCCCTCCCGGAATGGCTTCAATTATGCTGGCGATGGAGCGGCAACTGGGCGTGCCCCAGCTGGCTGGTGGCACGGCTTGGCGCAGAATAATAAATAAAGTTTAAATTCTCTGACATTTTGGCAAACATTTTCCGTGCCGACAGAAGCAAATATGTCATGGAAATGTCAAACTCATCAGCGGATTTGATTGGAAAACTGACAGCGTTGGTGTCGGAAAAGCATACCCGTAGCATCAGCAGCGGCACCATTGGCAGCAGCTGTCAGGAGTGACAGCGCCCCTTTTGGATGCACTGCACCCTACCGCGGCCTGTGGGTCAAAAGGAAAGGTTAACAGCTAACGGCGGGGATAGAAGGCACCTCCATGGGGCACTGGGAAGTTGCAACGAGGCTTCACTGGAGGCGTATTAAATAAATACCAATAATAGAGCTGTCAGACTATAAGCACTGATTTAAAATGTGTTCTAATAAACGTTAGCATTAAATAAATTTCTATGTATTATTAAACTATATTAAAACAATATTTTATTTAATTAATTAAATGATGAGGCTCAAATATACTTAAGTTTACTTTATATTTCCTTTATCTATATCTCATTCATTCTGTAGATTTAATATAATCATTAGTTATTCTTTATTCTGTACATTTCTAACAATCTATAATATATAGTACCTTGGAAATAAGTTTGACTATAATTAAAAATAATGAGCATTTTTTTATAAAAACTTAACAAAAAGGAATCAATAATAAATAAGTTACAGGCAATGCTACGATACTGGAAGGATTTAAATAGTATATTTATTAGGGACGGTCTTAAAACATCTCAATTAAAAGCTTAAGCAAAAATAGCCACAAAATATCCTTGATTGCCTTGAACATCCTTGCTTTTAGACACTTCAAGGTTTTGGCTTTAGTTTCCCTTTAAAATCTTGTTCCATAAACTAATATATATTAAATTCCAAGAAGGTTCCTTAGCGGCTTTAATTCCTAGCACCTGACACTCCAAAGCACTACGCAATTACACTCTCCCTATAGACAGTTCAAGTTCTTTCTACCATTTTAAAGAGAACAAATCGTTTATTGGACTTTTAATTGAACTAGGCCCTAGACATTGTATCTTGGCAAAGAGGAGGAACTGGGGGGAGGAGGGTGGTGGAAAAAGGGGGTGTCGACCTACGTAAGTCACGCAATGTTGTCTGCCAATGCACGCGGTGCTATATGTATCCCCGTAGCCATGTAGGTATATCTCCGTATCCATGGGTATATGGAAACAGCTGAGCTTTCGGCCGGCGTGACAATGCGACGCCTTTGGGCAACACAACACGGCCACAGCACCACATCGCTCCACCACAACAAAAGCAACACCTACGTGGAGCAAGTGCATCGGCATAGCCGTAGCCATCGCCTGACTGATTGCATGTCCGCCTGCGACCCATTCATTGTCTGGTTTCTGAGCCGGCACACCGGCACCGAGGGGTTAAGGCGGCCTTAACTGGAGCAACGCACGAAAGTCATGTTACAATGTACGAAAAATTGGCCAAATGCCGCTGGAGCTCTAACCGCCTCACTATGTTTATAGGTTAAGAACTGAGCCTTGGCCTCCTCCTCTTTGCCCCGTCAAATTTAGAGCGAATGCCTGTAGGCAATTTTGATAATAGCATAAATGGCTCAGTGGAAAATGGAGCAGTGGGAACAGCAGGAGGAGCAGCCGGAGGAGCAGCAGATTGATTGACCAAGTGACCTTGTCTTGGCCACTAATCGGCGGTTGACTGACTGACTGCTAAGCAGCAGGCCACCCGGCTCGGGTGTCCCATGCTCCAAAGACCACATCTCCGCCCAAAGATTCATATTCATTCATAATACGCTTAACAGGTTGCCACAACTCTGCCGCTTCCCACGAAACATGAGCGAAGAGAACCAGTTGCAGGCCAAGTCCATTGAGTCAAAAGTAATGGCGACATGATTTGCCAGCAAATCTATTATATTATTGGCTCTGCACTGGGAAAATATATAAACTATAAAGATTTTTATTAATAGAGATTGTTTAAAACCGGGGTTTAAGAGCTATAACTTGCAGGGTATTATAGTTTTAGTCAGAAGCTCGAAAAGTTGTGAATATATATATATATATATATATATATATATTCTTGACCAGCACCAACAGGGGAATCATTCTAGCCATGTCCGGTCAAGAAATAAAACTATAACAATTTTTCGAAATTTAAAAAAAAAGATAAGGGGTTACATCATTAAAATTTTCAAAAATCGACAAAATTTTAAAATTTCTAACTTTATATTTAGTATGCTGATTTATTAACCTAATAAAAACTGACATGGAACCGGTTTCCGAATGGAAATTAAAGCATTTTTGGTTTAGTTATGAGATTTTTAAATAATGAGTTTTCGAAGAAATTTCCATAAAATTATATAGATTCAAAAGATGGGAATATTTTAAGCTTAAGCCATAATATATATCTTCTTCAACATTTTCACTCGCATTCCAACAATCCTAAATATTGAATTTACACTTCAATTGCTTAAAACTAAAGTGTTGAGTAGGTCAGTCTTTAATGTTTTTGAATCCCAAAAATATTACCCTTAAACTGGGTTTATTAATATTAAAATGAATGTTTTTTGCAGTGTCCGCTTTTAAAAGTGTGTGGGAACCCATGGCGGCCAACGCAAATGCAAAATGCAAATGCTTTCCCATCTCGAGTTACCAAATCTTAAAGGCAGCTACCGCTCTACTGGGGGATTCAAGCGAGCACTTGGCTTAACTTGGTTCTTGGGAACTCAATTTGCTTATGGGCCACATTTTACTGCCATTTTAATGGCATTAGCTCCACCGGCGGGGGGTTGAACAGTGGCTAGGTGGTGGTGGAAAGCTGCGTTTAGAGGGTAGCGTGTGGACTCCCACAAAAAAAAGAATAGAGAGCAAACAGAAAAGAATGCATAATAATCGTAAAAGCAGAAACTATCAATATCGAAACAGAGATGTTGTGGGAGCGAGGGGTCATAACAACTAATGTTTCAGCAATTGTTCCAACCTCTTCGTTGGCACTTAATTACGCAACTCATCAATTAGGCAGACGTCGAAAGACAGGGACACCGCACAGCACTCCTCCTCAAAAAGGGCATTAAAAATGTAGAAATTGCGCGTCTTAACAATTATGGCCACTGGCCGGGAGGTGAGCCAAAAGGTGAGCTGGCCCTTGGCAATTATGGGCAGTTGCCCCCTGACAGATCCTACTACTACCACCCTTACTCCCCCCACTCCCACTTCCACTCCCACTCCCTGCGCATTCGGGGCCAAGACAATGGCCCATTAGCAGCGCGCTTTAATTATTTAGTTTGCGGCCAAAACCAAACCCAGAGATAGTGGAAAAGCACTCGGCAAAGCTCGAAAAAACGGCTGGGGGTGAGAGGAAGAAAGAGAATTACTAAATCATCGGGGGGCGGTTGGGCGAAAGGGGCGTGGTTCCGCAAGGCTAGTACAGCTAAATGCAAAAGCGAAACTCTGAAACTCAGAAAACCCTGAAGCTCTGCTTTCTTTTTCCCGGGTATAGAGAACATTTTGCAGTTCGGTTCTCGTTCGTATTGTTTTCGGTTTTTCGGGGCGCACAAGTTTTTTTGCGCAAGTCAGGGTCAAGCAACTGCAGATGGTCCTCTGAGTACAAGGAGTCCTCGGAAGGCACCCCCAAAAAAAATAGACATGTGTATCCAACTTTCCCAGCAGCATCCTCCTCCTGCTCCTGCCCCCAGGACATCTAATCAATTTTAATCGTCTTGAGTGCTTCCGCCCGGTAATCCATGAGCGACACACGTCGCGTATATGTATCGAAAATCGGAATCCATAGACCATTGATGGGCTCGGAGGGCAAACAAACACTAATTGTAAATTAAATGATCCCGATAATATCCGAAAACATCGGCGGGTACGGCACCCGCAATGGAAAACAAACGTTGACCCCGTGTGCGCCGTGTTTTGTGACAACCCCTGGGTGAGGGGTCGGGGAAAAGGGCCACTCACCGGGGCACACGCCGCAACGGTTCTGGTCCATTAACCCGTCGTCGTCGTTGTCCTGCGAGGTGCCGTGGTCCTGCAGACCTTTGGCAAAAGGAAACTAATGTTTATATTGACTTTTCACAATGCACAAAAGCGGCCAGAGGCACGTGGCCAGCGGCTGCTCCTTTGTGTTTGCTGTCGTCCTCTAACCCAACAGTTTGCCAGTGCAATTAACGCTGAGCTCCGCTTGACCGCTAATTGTCAAAATATTTACTCGAGTTTGCTACCTTTTCTCAGCCAAAGTTCGATTTCTCTCAAGTCCTGTGGTGGCATTGGAATCGGATTGAAGCCTTAATTCTGCACTTAAGCTTAATTAAAGCTGTCATATCAACACACTCACCCCGCTCCGGGACTTTGCCAATTTTGTGACTCTAAATGCGAACGCGGAGGAGCAATTAAATATTTTCTTTATTTTCATTTTCATTTTTAGTATTTTTTTTGTTTCTTGTTTTGTTTGGTCATTAAAAGAAACGCAAACGAAATGCCAACGAACCCGGGCGGACGAATCGTTAATCAAGCCATCAAGGCCCGAGAGTTTATTGCATTTGTTTTAATTAATTTAAATTATACAAATATCTTGACCCCTTGTAGTGTCCCGTCCCGCCGCAGCGTTCAGCAACCCCTCAGGTCAGCCCACACATCGGCTGTCCCGGACTAGAATAAAGCACCCCTGAGAGAGGTAGATATGTACATATGTTAGGTCCTCCGGCTCCTGGCTCTACTCCCGACTGACTAAGCTGAAGACAATGCCAAATGCACTGCGGAAAATAAGGGTAACATACCAAAATTTACCCTCGGTATTTGTATACCCTTTCAAGGGTATTATAACTTCAGTCAGATGATTGTAACGATGTGAAAGAATCATCCGACCCTATAAATCATATATATTCATATATATATTCTTGAATCATTCTAGCCATGTCCTCCGGGCAAAAAATAAATTTTTGAGATTTTTTTAAAATTTGAAAAAAAAAAAGATAAGGGGTTACATCATTAAAATCTGCAAAAATCGACATTAGAATAGAGTATGCAGACTTATAAATATAATAAAAACTAACATGGGAATGCTTTCCGATTTGAAATTAATGATTTTTTGACTTAGTTATAAAATTTTAAACTTTGATATGTTGACAAAATTGTCATATGAAAACATCGTTAAGATAAATATTTTAAGCTTTGTTATGTTTGATTTTCAGGTCGATTAAATAATAAAACAGCAAACTGCAAGGATATATAAGACTTCGGCTTTTAAAGATAGGTTGCTTTCTTATTAAAATTCCTTTAAAAAAGAATTTCCCCTTATTTCTATTACAATTTCACAGTTTAGCAACATTTTTTCGCCCCTAATTTTCTCTTCTGTATTTTTTTTAGCCCTTCTCGACTCTGGGCTATGTTAGACCGCTCCCCAGTTCCTTTGCAGCTCGCTGCTTCCTTCCTGACTGTTCCTTAATCCGTCAACAGCACGTGCGTGTGTTTGTCTGTCGCTGGCCAGCTCAACTCAGCCGCTGAGTTGTGGAACTGGCCAGGAGAGGAGAGGACCTCCTGGCGCGGCGTTGAAATTAGTTTTGAATCATTTATGAGTCATGTTTAGGGTCTGGTTCTGGGTCTGGGTCTGGGCCGCAGTCTGAGCAACCAAACCCAGAATGGGGAGTTCCGTTGGACGCGGCATAATCGATTTAATAGGCCAAAATCGTTACGCGCCGTATGGCGAATGGTAAGGAGGAGGCCCAGGTGAGGTCCTGGTGAGACCCAGTTGAGGGTGACTCCAATGCCCACCCTGCGCGGAATATAGCTAACATAGAACTCACCTTGAAAATAACTTTTGGTTCTTAAATAACTAACGGACAGCCTTAGAATGCTCAGTCGATCCAGTTTGCTCAAGATGTTCTGCTCGAAGGGCAGCAGCGAGGCCAGGAGATCCAGCTCGGCGTTGAGGCGCTCCCGATGCCGCTTTGATGGATTGCTCTTTGTGACGCCATCCTTGGGCGGCGGCTTCAGGCTGCGGGGTTGAGGAGTAGAGAGAAGAAAACAGGAAAAATGAGTGAAAGGGAAATTAAAAACAATTTTCATGCATAAATGGAAAGTGGCTCCCTAAATAGAACGCCGAGCGTCGGGAAAAAGGCTCGGGCTCGACCGCGTCAGCTGGCAGCAAACGGCGGAGGCGGCATGAACTTGAAAAGGTCAAAAATTATTAATTGCACTTATCAGTTACCCGAAAGTGTGTAATAGCCCAGACCCTGGACAGACCGACCTTAAATCCTCCCCCCAGATGGTTGCGACAGCTCTCAAGGACTACGCTCATCCAATCTGGGGTAGTTTCCCTCGATTAGCTATGCCCACTTAATCCGCTTATTAGTCGATCGATAGGAAGTGTGTAAATTGCACCAGGGATCTACTATTATATGGCACTATATTCTTTTATTAATAACTGACAAAAGAGGCTTTTAAATTTTTAATCCAGATATCTAATCATACTTTTAATCGTATTTTTTAGTCAAACCCAGATACTTATTTAAAGACTCATTTCATTATATTAGTACTAAAATATGATCAACTTAAGAAATACTAATTGCTGCTAAAATAAACCTAAAGTTATCCCAATGATAACTTTATTTCAAATACAACATTATTCAAAATCTAAATGATTATCTCAAAACCCACTCTTCTCGTCCCATATAATGATGTATAATGAAGCGTATTGGCACGTTTTAAATCCCTGTTCCGATTCCAGCAAGATAATCGGCCCCATTACGCGGACTCCACCTCTAACTAACAGTTTCCGTGAATCAAATCATAAACGGGAATATGCATGGATATATCCAGACACAAGTCAGAAGTCCGACCGCAATCTGGAGCCACTCCAATTAAATGTCATAAAATGTTCGAGGACCGACAACCGAACCCGACCTGGAGGAGCCGTCTGCAGTGCCATTGTAAATCCAAATGCTGAATGGATCGGGGTCGGGATCGGGATCGGGGTCGGGGGTCTCATAAATGCAAAATCCGTTTATGATGGGTATATGTATGTGGAATGGAAATGGGATTAGCTCAAAAGCTTCGCCGCTAATCCATCATTATCCATGGCCAAGAGCGGATAAGCAAGGTAGTTCTTTAAGATTTTCACCACGAGCTGATGCACTCTCCAGGGACTCCACCCTTTGCCTCCCTATTGTGTTAGTTTTTTAATCATATTTCGTCTCATCATTTTCATTGACATTATTACAAAGTTAATTGCGGTAATTAAATATAATTATTGTTGTAATTTATGAGACGACCCCTTCCATGGCCAAAACCTTGCGTGGCATTGTTGTTGTCACTGTGTTTTCAAATTTTTTAGTCGTTTGTTGTGTTTCTCTCGTTGGGGTTTTTGTGTGTCGCGTTTTATTTGGAAAAACCTTTTTGCTCGGCTGCACACACACGAGACGCGGAAAAAGGACGCGGACTGTTGCAGGATATTGTCGCGTTAAGTTAATTGGCCAACGGACCTCGTCCTGTGGACTGTTTTTTCTTCCCTATTTCTGGTGGTGCAGGATCCTAGGTAATTGTCAGTGGCATGTCCGTTTGATGTCACAAAACTGGACAACATGTTGCCTCAAATTGTCGCCGGTTGCCGGACGTACGGATAATCCCCCAGTTGGTATCGGAGTGCTCCCAATCCCAGTTCCATTATCGTGCCACCAAGGCGTTGTCCGTTTGTCCAGCGGAATGCCAACTTCTCGCCCAGCTGCTAGGATAAAAGGATCACAGATAAGGATTCCCTCTGTTCCACAGACTACAAAGGATAAACAGTTGTCCTCGCAAATCGACGCTAAACGTGGGACAATCCATTCCTGCTCCACCTTCAAATCGAGCAATCGAAAGAACTCATTTAATGAAATGAATAGCCAATTATGAAGAAATTTGAAAATGATCAGTGTCTGGGCCAAAAAAAGAGAAGGTGGAAGAATAATGAAAAAAAGGATAAACGAACGGATCGCGGGATGATTATATTGATGAACGAAACCGTTAGACGCATCGGAATGCACCACAGGACGCCAGAGTCAAGGCTGCGAATTAGCTAAAGGAATCGACATAGAAATAATTTCGATCCAAAGCCAAATTGAGGCCACTGCCAAATTGGGGGCAATGCGGTGTATTATTTTTTGTTTTGCCGCTGTAGTCCCCTCTGCCCCCCTGTCTCTCGCCTAAGTTGGCGGCATAAAATGTATAATTTTCTTATTATCTATAGCAGTCCAAGGAAACCAAATGGCAAGGGCAAAGCAGCAGGAGCAGGAGCAGCAGAAGGAGCAGGAGCTGGAGCAGTGGGAATAAAATGAATTCCATAAACAACTTTCCAAAAACTAAAAGAACTTTTGGCGACGAGGAGGAAAGGTAAAAGGTGCCTCAACCTTTTGTCTGGGGGCCATAAAAACGTCAAGAGAAATAGAGAAAAAAAAAAAGAGCGAAGAGAGAGCGTGTGTACGTGTAGAGAGGAATCCTAGCCAACAAAGGATAACTGCAGGAAGTGTGTGTGTGTGTGTTGGGCCACGCTCCTTGCAAAAGTTTCAGCCCCAAAAAGCCATTTTTATTCTCCTTCAGCGACGCCATCGTCTTCGTTCTCGTCGTCCTTTCTATACATTTTTCCCCATGTATTATTTTTCGCCATTTTCGTTGCTTTTCCAACTCCGCCGCCACCCCATTTCCCATTTCCCATACCCACTCCCCCCCATTCGGCATTCTTCTTCGCATTTCTTCTTTCCTTTTCCCATTATGAAATGAATTGCTTTTAAAGAAATTACAATGCGGACGACTTTTGGGATTGGGGCCTCGTCCGCCGGTCCGCCGGACCGCTGGAGGAATAGCTCTGGGAGTAGCTCTGGGATTGCGGCCAGGGGCGGAGTGAGTGTGTGTGTGTGTGTGTGTGTGAGTGTGTCTCGCGATTGGGTTGACACAAATTGCAAGGTCCAAGGCTGCAGTCTCGCCCACCACACGCCAAAGCAAAGTCCTCAGATCCAGCGACTACGATATAAGCCCTAAATCCCGACGCACCACGCCCACCTTTTGTTGTCCAGAGCAATAAAGATAAGCCAGAGTAAAAGAAAATATAATTAAACCAAAGGGTGATAGAATAAGAATAGAATTAGCTGAAATCAGTTGATAATTTAATGAGATATATTAAAGATATCTGAAATATCTAAGTTAAAAGAAACTTCTATGTTAATAAAAGGTGTCATGATTATGTCTTACTGTTTGCCGGGGCACATTAATAAGTTTTAATAATATTTTACTAATGACAAACTTTAAAAATGATAATAAGTGAATGTACTTATATTCCTCACTCTTTTAAAACTGATAATACAAAATTATAATTATACTAGATAGTGTTTACTAATTTTCTATCGATTTACTTAAGTCGATACTTGATAAAATCTCTTAAAACCTACTGCCTGGCAGCCACTATGATTTATTATCATATTTGTAATAATACAAATAAATTGATTTACTTATCAAAGAATATCCTAACTAATTATCAGTTAAAAATAAGACTTTTACTTTAATTTAGCTAAAACCCAACAAAAAATATTTTTAAATTCCCATTAAATGTTACTAAAAATAAACTATATTGATGTCATCATAACTAATCGAATATATATATTTTTGTGCATCACAGAGAAAGGATTTCAATTTTCTGAGAATTTTACAAGTTGACTGAAAAACTTTCCGTTCAAATGTATATTTGCCATTTGCAGGTGTCGATTGTTGCTTAATCCCCGCCAGTGAACCCTGTCCCGCTGCCTCTATGATGTGTTTATAAACAAATGACACGCAATCCTTTGGGGGCACGTGAGTTCATGGCATCCAGCTCAGCTGTCTACGCCTTCAACTCCCTTTTGTTTTTTTTTTTTTTTTCACCGGCTTGCATGCAAAGCATTACGCATACGCAGCGTGTTCAGGTGGCTCTTATTGTTGTTGTTGTTGTTGATCATAGCACGCTCGATTTGGCGCCAAAATCGCAGCAAAGCACCGTTAGTAACACACACACACGCAGAGTAGAGCAGACCAGACACTCGTTCATTCATCAGTTGGCTCTTTTGACTTTGGCCTATGCGTGTTGGTCGAGAGCTGCGTGCCGCCATTGCAGCTGATAGGTGTGCGCCCCCCCAGTCCCCCAGCCCCCTAAATACACCTGAGCACCTCCCCTCCATCAACCCCTCACACTAGCTCAACCCTTTTGGCATTCAGTGTTCGCCAAGTGGCGTGTCCAAAATATAAAACTCTAAACAACACACAGCGGCGGGATTGTGGGTCATCATCGCTCACTTTTACTGCAACTAATTTGATTTTACATACTCCCCCGAAAGGCGGCCACTTGTTGATGCCGCACACCTGCGACCGACTACTGTGGCTACTGTGCAATGCAACACCCCTCTCATCTTGGTCTGAAAATGTCACATTTAATTGATTTTATATATATGAAAATGTCACAACACAACACCGCGTTAAGCGCCATTTAAGGAAGCTGTCAGTGGCGAACAACATGATGCTGCTGCTGCTCCTATGCTACCGTGTTGCTGCCTTTTTGGCCCAGCCACTTAGCAGGCCGCAAAGGGAGCCACCTAATCTATGGACCACTTAATGGATCTGCGCCAAATTCACGCATAAATTTCGAGGCTCAGCATCCCAAAGCTGTTAAAATTAACGAGGAGCGCGAGAGGAGCAGGAGCAGGAGGTGCCTCACCTCACAGCGTGGCCAACTCATTAATTTTGTCAACCCGAAAGCGAGAAAAGTGAATCGCCAGGCAGTAGCTGAAACCAAAAGCGACTACAAAACGATCGCGCAACTCTGTCAAGATAACAAGTTGGCTAAAAAGAGGCCAGGACGAAGTGAATTCCAGTTGGAGGAGCTACAGACAGAAGATAGATGCACTGGAAACCAAAATGGGGTTAATTCCAATTGCTTTTAAGCATCAAGCAAGCTACAGAAATATCCGACATATTGGAGAAAGATATTTCAATAGA